AAATTTTCTTTTTAAGCCTTGTAAGTTTGATTTTAAGATCTTGTATTCCACTTATAATCTTATAAATCTCCATATCTTCTTAATTTGATACAATCACTTGAAGTTAAACAAAATTCATTATTGATAGTATAATACATACTTAAATTTTTAGATATTTTTATTATTTTTTTAATATTAATCTTATTTTTATTTTTTTCTTGTTTTATAAGAAATTCCACATCATCTTCAGTAGTCATCCATTATATTATCAGTCCTTTATTTTCTTCTTTACCTTTAAGAAGAACCTTCAATTTTTCTTGTAATTATCTATCAATAGCTTAAATAAATAACTCAACTTGATTTGGCTCCAATTGTAACTTCTTCATGTTTGAATATTAAAAATATTATCTCTCAAATTCTCTTAATAGCTTGATAGCTTGCTAATTCTTATTATGCTATTTAATTTATTTTAAGAATAACTTATTTTTGACTCAATCAATTTTTTTTAAGAAATATTGATTCTTTAATGCATATGAAAGTGTCTCCTATGAATTTTCAAAATTAACTATAATTAATCTTATATTTTTTTTTATCTTTGATAATGTGGAAAATTCAAATAGTTCAATTTTTAACTTTTTTGAAAAGAAATTCAATTCTATTTCTTACATATAATATCTAAAATAGTTCAAAATATCTTTTCAATTAAATTAATCAACCTTATTAACCATTTTTTGCAATGCTTTGGTTGTCCAAGTATCTTTGTAGTTATTGCATTGATAATGTAAATGCTTGAAATATATTTGTAATAATTGGATTTATGTATATATCCTATTCTTCAATAAAAAAAATCCACTAAATACTCTATTTGAAGTTCCATTCAAAGTTCTCATTGAAATTCCAACTTCAATATGCTAATATACATACTAATTACTTAATAGATCTTTTAGAAGCTTCTTAGGAACCACAAGGCTTATGACTGAAGAATGAAGTTGTAAGTTGCTTCTAATGTAGTATTTTAAAAGTACAAAATTTGTAGAATAAGTTTTAATTGTCATGTAGAATATATATAAGAGTTAAATATCTAATTAGAGTCTAAGGAATTGCTTTAAAGAAATGAAAAACATTTAAGCAAAGAAAAAAAATAAAATTTTAAATGCACATATAAAAGAAAAATAGAATTGCTATTGTACAATAAAAAAAACAAAAAATAAACTAATAATAGAATACAAAAAAAAATTTATAAGATAGGAGATAACATTTATCTAACTTTTATATATAGTAGCAGATATAATCTATATCTGTTATAAGATTGTATTAAATTAATTTTTGCAACCAAATTACTAATATAAAAAAGTTAATGCAGCTTTATTTATGTTCAAATATCTAAGAAACCAAATACACTATAATCAGTATGATGAAATTAAAATAATTGTACATCTCAAAATAATTTTTTTATTTTTTTATAAAAAAATTTAATATAAAAAATATGAAAACTGATTTTAGTTTTATAATAAGTGAGGAATATATAAAATTTAAAGTTATAAAACAATTTTTATTATAAATAAATAAATAAATAAAATAAGCTTAATAAAGACTCCATTAAAGCAATTATAGTTACAAATTTTATTAAATATTAATTTTTTAAAAACATATTAAATATCCAATTAGTAAAAAAATTGGTATATTTTTAAATTTAAACTATAATCATTGGTTTCTACTATTTCAGTCTTTGAAAACAAGATTGAAGCAACACATGGACAAGAAAATACAACTGCTACTACTGTCAGGTTTTAAAGAGTTTAATTCTTTATTACAATAATGTCAATTAAAAGAAAAAATAAGAAAATAATACAAGAAATCAATTCATACCATCTTCTATATTGATTTAGAGATCTTATAAAACTTAAGATTAAAAAAATATATGTCATAAAAGAAAAATTGAACTAAGACTAATTTAGCCATACTAAGGCTAATTTAGTTGCATTGGATAAGGTAGAAATAAAATCTACTTGTACAAAAATAAGATAATATTCAAATAGATTATATATTATCTTTCAATTCTAAAATCTATTTAGTATTGGAAATTATATTTAAAATTCAAATTTATTATATATGTACATATATATATATATATTTATATATATATTTATATATATATTAATAAAATTCTAGAAATAAGAAAGTTTTATTTGTATAATAAGTTGATGATGATTCTATGTTTAAACAAGAAATTTTATGAATTTTTTTAAATTTGTTTTTAGTAAATCAAAATCTTTTATATTAACATGTGAAAGATGAATGTGATTACAATCTTATACATAATTATAAGACTTATACCAAAAGATTGTATTATGAGCATTTTAAAATATAATCCACATTTGATTTAGAAGCAAAATAAAGAGCAATCATCTTATCATTGATAAAGAAGTATGTCTTAATTAATTTCTAAAAAAAAAATTAAAATTAAAAAATCTTATAACAGAAGGGATTACCTTGTATAACATAAATATAAATTAAATAAGATTTAGAACCTTTAGAATATCAATCTAAGCAAAGAGTTATATCTAAACGAAGAAATTTAGAGTCATATTAATAGTTTTACAATAAATTTACTAATGGCCATGAATCAAAATAAATTCTAGTAATATAAGATTGATTTGTTTAATCTAATTCATATTAATTTTTTTTAAATAATATATTTTTTATTTTAAAATATATTCAAAACATAATATCACTTTAGAAAAAATAAAATAAAATCCTAAAACATTTATTGCCATAAAAGATTAGAGATAATGAATAATACAAAAGACATAAAGTTCTATTTATATATTTTAAATAATTTAATTTAGAAACACCTTGGTAATTTTAAACAACCTTAAAATTTTCATTAAAATATATTTAATTTTTAATATATATATATATATATAGTTAAAAAAATTAATATATATAAAGAAATCAAAACTATCTTTTAAAAAATAAAAAATTATCTCTAAGAAATCAAAACAAATATTAAAGAAAATTTGAAGAAACTTCAAAATTATCCTAAAGAAATCATAAAGAAATCATTATTAAATCTTAATTGAATCCTAAATAAATCCAAATAGAAACCTAATCAAATTCTAAATAAATATTAATAGAATCCTAAGAAATCTTAAAATTCTAATCAAATTCAAGTAAATCTTAATAAATTCTAGTCAAATCCTAGGTTAACACCATAATAATTTTTAAACACCAATAACTATTATATTAGCTAGCAACCTTGTTTCAAACTTATTACACAACTTAATTTACTAGTTGAAAACATGCACACAAAGTTAGAAGAGGATCTAACTTACAAATTGGAAAGAAATGGTCATAATCCATGTGGGTGTTAATTGTCTTCCTTCTCCAACTTCCAAGCAAACTTCCAACTTTAATTTCTTATTGTAGTACTGTTAATTTGATCTCAAAATTTGCAAAAATTTAAAAAAATTAGTCAAATATCAATCCAAAAAAAATTATTCTAATCTGACTTGAAAATTGCTCAAAATCTAAAAAACCCTCATTGATCTTCAAAATCCAATTTCTCAAACCCTAGCTTATTTGAACCTCACTAACATTAGGTTTGACCATCTATTGGAGCTTGAATTTTCAATACACATTAAATACAAATACATTAAAAAATCCACCAAAATTTACTTATAGATTTTCCATAATATCTACACAATTTATAAAAATAAAATCTCTTTTTTATTGAACACAAACCAAAGTCACCCAAAACAACCTTGACTTTGCAAAGGTCTCACAAAGTCAATATGCCCTCAAATCTCTCAAATCTTATTCTCATAGAAACCTATCAAATTTGCTCTGAAATGCCACATTTTGATTGACAAAATGGGATTTTTTTTGCTGTAGGCATGCAATTTTGTGCCTCAAATTCTCATAAGTACAAGAGACATCACACAAGAACATAATGTTCCATCACAAGATCTTATATACATAATATATTATGAAAAGATTTTTGAAATAAAATAAAATAGAATAACTACCATAAATATCAAATAATAATAAACTAAATTAGATGACATATGAAAGAAGTCTAGTGGTGAATAGGCACTTTTAACATGGTATTTTAGAAAATAAATATTATTAAAAACATACGTTTAAATTGATTCCAAGAAGCTTGTTTGAAGCATGACCAAGACACGGTTTTTAGACATAGATCCAACCATTGACCATGATTTGTATGATGATTACTAGAAAATTACAACTGTGTTAGTGTGTGAGGTTTGCTAAGATGAAAACTGTCTAAGGAACTGAAAGAAGCACAGACAATAACAAAAAATAGTAACATTATACAAAATTCAATAAATGTTTTGTAAAGGACTGAAAATGCATTGTGTAGTATTATTTGAAAAAAGACCTCTTTAAAAAGAAAGAATACCTTATATGATGTTCCTTTAGAAAAGTCAAACTTGAAAAAAAAGGTCTTCACAAGCTTTAAAAAATACGTTAAAGAGAAGCAAAAAATAAGAAAGTAAAAATAAAATAAAATAAAACAAAATACATAAGTAAAATCACTGAAGATATTGATAATTAAAATAAGAGACGATGTAACAACATAGGCTGTGAGGTTATCATTACATGGGCCTTTCACGAACCAAAGAGTTATGGTGGATCAAACGACCTAACCCCACAAGGTACATGCCACAAACAAACAAAAAAAGGAAAAAAGTAACAAATAATTGGATGGCGATACAAGCAAGGGTTCTTCAGGGTTAGGGCAAGCTTTCGGGGGAATATTATTTTCAAGTAACTCAAGGCAGGGTACTCGAGACTGAGGCCGGTTCACAAGTTGATCGAGCGATGATTCTAGACTATCAACATTCCAGAACTTCACAATGACACTCCCTGCATAAGTAACAAAGAATTCGCACCTCACACTGTTCCTCCCAGTACCAACTTCGTGTGATAGCCAGTGTTTTTGAAAGGATGGAATGAATTACAAGTTATGGCATAGAGCAGAGTGGAAGTACACTAAATGAGCACAGAAGCAATAAAACTCACAAATCTCAATCAAGGATATGTAAGACAAGTCATCAACATACCTCCTCTGAAGCTTAAAATGTACAGTTTTTTTCTCGAAGAGGTGCACGGCATTTTACAACTGTTCAAGACCCAACCCTAACTAGCTACCGTACTTTTGCGACAACATCGGGTACCTCCACATCCTCATCCTTCGCATCTGTGCACGAAATAGAGAAGGCAATTGTTGTTTCCGTTGGAGGCAGTGTTACTTTGCCGATGGTTGTGATCAAGTCTATTAAGGAAAGTGGCATTCTATCCTGCAACTTTTTGCGGGGTAGAAATTCTGCATACAGCAGACTCTTTCCAAACGACAGCATGGTGATCTGAAAAAGAAAACAGTACAATTCCGGTGAGTCGTTTTTACTACATTTACTACTGTCCGAAACCTCTTACACAAAACTTACGAAAAACCTTAACAAAACCTAGGCATTGACCCTACCTTAGGAAAAAGTGTTCGTCACGACATATATGTACATATGGAAAGACCACATCCTCCCTATTCAAGCAGGAAAAAATGAAACACAAAATCCTGTTGAACGATAGGTTCTTTACCTCAAGTCCTTGTTGACGTTTAAATTCTGCTAGAAACGTCTCCAAAGTCATGTTCTGACAATCCATCTCAAATCTATCCCACAATGTCCAGATTAGAGGGTCCAGATGCTTCCTTGACACCTGCACCCATAACAAGCAACCACATTTATGTCAAGTTATCGTAAAGAATATAACTAGCTTAAGCTTAAATTACAATGAGCCCAGCGTGAACTAACCACTGATAACCAGAAAAGATACATTAAAAGTGCAACAATTACAATTTGAAGCCTAAAAGAGCCACCTAATTGCCCCTTTGTGGATTAACAATAACAATTTATTCACAGAAAAATATTGCAAATTTTTTCGAGTTGAATCCCACAAACGATAATCCGCAATCGAAATCTTTGCAAAAAAATGATAGAAATCTCAGTACCGTGTGCTGAAGAGCTTTAATTGGCTGTGCAAATGCAAACAAGGGAACTGCTAAGTTGAAGTATGCATGCTTGTGTAGCGTGAAAGGCTTCCCCTGCACTAGTTTATAAAGCTCAAGACACATAAGACCACCTACAACTGCTGTAGATGTTGCAATGGACGGTAGCACCCTTCCACCCACCAGCCTTGCCTACATTTCAATCAACATAACGATCGTCACAAATCAGACATATCTGAACAAAGAACTGGTCTGCTGGTTGGTATCATATTAAAGTTTTTATTTTTTTATTTTTTTATTTTTTTTTAAAAGGAAGGGGGAGGGGGAGGGGGGGAATTTCATGCAGAAGAGTTGCACTTAACAAAAAACATGTGAACTTCTGAAACTGACCAGCTTCACTTCACCCATGTAAACATTGTCAGAAACAATATATATGCTGATTCAATTGACAACACTATCATCTACAATATAACTCAACTTCCAATTCAAAGCAGAGGGATACAATAAATTCAATCAAAAATTTACAAGCAACATCATTACACACCTGCAGTTTATTAGTGCTGGGAATGCCGTAATTCCTTCCTCTCAAGCTTGAGGCTGCAGCTACAAACTCAGCGTGATAATTGTGCTCATCATCCTTTTCAAACTCAACAGGCACTAACCTGTAACCCTGTTGACATCGAAAACAACATCAGATGTCAAACATTTAATCCACTATATAAAATGCAACCTGAAAGCTTGCAAAAGAAAGACAAGTGTCTTGTTAATGATCTACCTTCAAGCATTAGTCACTTCAATGTAAACAAGTCTAATGTTACAGCCGTCACCAAACTACTAAGAAGAGTAGGAAACAACAGCCATATGTAGGGCACTCATATTAATGATTCTCAGTGCTTCCAACAAAGTGATTCGTATACGTTCACCTCTAAAAATTATCACGTTCTTCTAACGTCTTTCAAATGATACACAAGAATAATTCTGACAATTGATCCAGAATTATCACTTTTGGAGCACATGCAACTCCAAGTGCTACAGAGAAAATTCGGTTTAGAGGCGCACAAAGGATATACAAGAGAACGTAAAATTGAACTTATAAAAAAGCTGATTTGGTATGGTGGAGACAGCAGATGGAAATTACTGCAAGAGAAGCAGGAGTGGGAAGCTCCCGCAACAGTCTCTCACATGCCTCCGCAGCATCACTGTCTTCTGAATTACCCAGGTACTTTCGTTGGTTTGATTGGTTCCGTAATTCGTTATCTGTAACTGCGATCTTTATTCCTTCCTGAATCACAGCTTAAGTGCTCAGCGATTGGAACATTCTAACCCGGAGTCATTTGAGGATGGTTATATCAACGGCATACGATATTACACGGTGCTGAAACCCATCAGTGAAAGAAAAGTTGAATAGAAACATGAGCAATTTACACAAACAAGACTAAAACCGAACAGCACACGGCATGAGGGTGTTCATGTAAAGTGCCTACTTTGGGTTCAAAGGGGGGAACCACAACACGCTGTAAAACATCTACAAACATGGCTCGATCCTGGCAGCCTTTAAGGCCATAAATAGTAGCTTGCAGGTTGGCAGCAGCAATTATAAAATCCAAATGGAGATTATCGGCAGGATCAAATGTTATTGGTGTCGGACACCTCTTCGTTCCACTCCAAAACGGAGCACCAGCTGTTGTAGTCATACTCGCTGGGAAGTTGAAACACAGCTGCAAACACAATCAGACAAAGGACAAACTACTTTGTCAGAGAAAAGGACATGTTTTTATCTACACGACTAATAACGCCATTATAGCCTTTGATATGCAATAGGAGTTCGCAACCTAATTTTGATACATGATCAAATTGAAGGACTGGCGTGAAGGACGTGAGAGGTAATGGCGTACCTGCTTGATGTTGTTGGAAAATAAGTCTTCAAATTGAAGGCGCGCCCATTGTATACATGCATCAAAACTTCACAAGACCCTTTCAAATTAGCACGTCTTGCTTGAATAACTTCTGAAAGCCTACAGGTTAGCGCAAAGAAAACCTCTTCACTAGTTCCTTCCACTCACCCGATCTTCCAAATACCAGATGACATGGTTGAGTTGATAAACATAAATGAACATGACATTATGAAACATCAGCACACGTAGATGTGCGAAAAATTCCTGGAACATGAAACAAACAACTTCTCATGATTGAGGATCAGAATACCTTATAGGCCGATATCGTATAAGAGCATCTCTAAGTGAATTTAGCACAGGGAGCCGTGATGACGCTGGAGATTTACGTATAGATTCTTGAAAGTCTCGGCTTGACAGATAAGCATTCACGTCAGCTGGCCTGCTTTTGAAAAGAGCTTCAAATGTCTCCACTGCCCATCTAAGGGTATGCTCCGTTGCATAAGGAAAATTTCTTAGAGTACAAATGGGCAGTTCCTTGTGCTCAGGAGGGTCCCGAGTGGATGCATACATTTCTGTCTGAAATGGTACAAATACCTGCAATTACGATGTACACATAGCGGCTTGAGAATCGGCGCAGCAGAAAACTCTCCGTCAGCAAGGTAGTGAGATAATCAAGTGACGATGATTTCCTTGATGCTTGGATTAGATTGGTGAGAAGTACAGAACCAAGTTTTTTAAGACATGAAAAGACTGCAGCATCGGCGACATTAGAAAGCGGTGGGAGCTAGGAAAAGTTTGCAGGAGAGTACTGCACAAACCTGAACACTGCCTTTGGTACCATGTTTACCGCCATCAACCATAGGTCTCCGGTTGGAAACGCATCGGGTATCCAGGTAGAGCCTTGATGACGACGTATCTACAGCCGAAAATACACCTGTTCACCACATGCAAGACTTATGTCAGAGAAGAATTCTGCACAGAAAGACGTCATTAGTTTCATGACTTTTAGTATAATCAAGTCACTATGAAGTTCGTACTATGACTGCTGACCAAAACTAATATACCTGCTATAGAGTTGAAGAATGAGGAGTCAAATATAGTCTCCGTCTCTGTGTCAAACCTCTCCTGCACAGATGCAGGTTCATTCTCTGATAAAAACCTCAGACGACAGAATGACAGCCACCTCAGCATTTGCATGTAATCCCTTTTTTGACGAAGGCGAAGGTCATTCAAGAACATCAATATGCACACGAGTTTCTGATACGTGCTTCAGGCCATACTTTACGACTTCAATAATCCACAAATATAGAATGACCGGATAAAATTACCGTAAGGGCGTGTATTTGAGCCGCAGGGTTTATGGTACGCAAGGCTCTTGCAGCTGATGGCGCCTTAGCACGACCCACATCCTCAAGTTGATACAGAACTTGATCTATCAAATTGGGCTTTGACACTGTATCCATGTCTGTAATAGTAATGCTTCCGTTTGAGCTACAGCCCACACCCATCAATACTAACCCTTTCAAAGCTTCACAACCTATTCCTCCAGCCCCCACCACAAGCCACTGAGCGCACCCACACACGCAATAAGAATTACAACCCACTCACTCATTCACGAAGCTGGAATTACAGTCGCATTTGATCTTAAAAAAAAAACAATAATAACTTGGTCAGTGAATTAGAGGATAGTCGGTGGAATATGGGTTTAACTTCACATTAGCATCAGCGAAGCATTTAACCACCTGAAGGCAACCAAGCTTATCTTGGAATTCTCGGCCAAACAAAGCGATCTGATGATCATAGCGAGAGCCACAAGGCAGCGTATCCTCCGGAGCAAGTGGTACACTAGGCAGACATTCCACCGCATCAAAATAGAGCCATTGCTGTATTGGCGTAAAGACCCTAGTCAATGCCTGCAAGTATCAATTCAAGCAGACGGGCACAAAATGCAACTGATTATTCGCATGTACGAAGACTTCAAATTATAGAGCCATACAGATTTCGTTCACTTCTTCGAACATCGACTTCTGTCAAGCACATACGGGCACCACAAGCAAGTTGAAATAGATTCCCGCAAATTAAAGCCTTGCACATCCAAATACCTTAATAGCCTCTTGTGCAGCAATACCCCCCGTTACAGCAGAAACAGGATAGAGCTCCACACTCGCTCCTAACGCAATCATTCGGACTATTTCCTCGATTACCTCAAACCTATTACCATGTGACCTTGATGGTAATCCCGCACTGGAAGTTGAACCTCCACTACTACTGGACCCAGCTCTATCCTGATATGGTCTGTCCCTCTCACCATTAGCTTTCAACAGAGCCTCATTTGACAGCTCCTCTCCTCTCTCATCAGATGTGGCTTCCATTGCATAACTACCGCTACTGGTTCCCTTCTCAACATGCAATGCCTGCAAATTCGACCATATTTCTTGGGCAAGCACAACGACCTCCTGAAATTGTTCAGGGTTTATGGCAGTTGACCTGGACGGTGATAAAGTATCCGAGGCATGACGTCTCTCAAACTCGTCTACGGCTTGAAAGCCAACATGCAAGGACATAACTTGAGGCTCTTTCACCGGATCACTGATGCAGAATTTAGGAGACAGAAGAGCTTTCTCCAAGGAAAGAAACTCCATGTTCTTAGATTTCTTCAGCTTGCTGAAATATCCACCGGACACATAGCGCTCGTACGAACGTGTATCTTCCTGTATTGTGAAGGAATGCACACCGGTGACAGTCACTGAATAAGGAGTGTCACGATTCAACTCTTCCATGCCCTTGATGCCACTCAAAACAACCTCATCGCCATTTTCTAACCCGTGTCGTTGTTCTTCCACCACGGTGACAGTAGCAGGAAAATCCTGCGTAATACCTTCGACCAATACTGCCCCGGCAAGCTCTCCAGTTTCGTCCAAAACGGAGAAATTGTCACCAAAATCTGAGAACACGAAGGTGAACACTCCACGACAACTCGCCGCCACAAATGGCACGCCCAAGGAGCGGCATAAAGAGTTCAAACGAATCAGGTCGGGATAAAACCCACTTGTGGCCACCACACAGCCATAGCTGCCCAGCGCGCTCTCCACCGATACGCTCGACAGCGTGACAATGTTTACACTAGGGTACATCTCCTTCAATTTCTGAGCGGTAGCGACCGCCCGATTGCGCCCCACATCCCCCTCGCTCAAGAGGAAATGCGCCCCGAGGTCAGCCAACACGACCACCTCGTCATCCACTAACCCTAACCCTTGCACCCCGGACAAGACCAAATTCTTCGCTACCTCAACACCCGATCCCTTACACCCCAACACCAACACACGGGCCTGACTCAACGCATTCACCGCGTCTCTCCCTAGCGTGTGAATCAAGCGCGAGTACCGCAGCTCGCTCATCTCCTTTACGGGCGCCGATGCTGAGGCGGAAACATTAATCTCCACATCCACGGCATTGTCTACGTCCATAATCACCATCCTGAATGCAAATCTCTAACCAACCCCACACATACACCCCCCCCCCCCCCCCAACCCTGCCCCCGCCTCTTCACATCCAGAAACAAGCCATGCTCCTTCTCCTCCTCCACTTCCCAAATTCACCTCCCATTCAGTCCCCGAAATTCCACAACCTGAGAAGAGAATCGGTCACAAATTCCACTAACTCGTACCACTCAGGGACACAAACCTACAGCCCGACATTGCATCGTTTCGCCACATGAAGCTGCCATCGATTGCATTTTCAGGAGCTCGGCATCGAGACGGCCGGATTGGAGCAAACGCTGTTTTTAAGCACGAACCCTCCGCCTCCTCGCTAGGTAGGTACCTGTGGTAACCTACCTTCCTAGGACTTGGTAGGTCGTCGGTCGTTGGTGGGGGTTAGACTGAAAGTAGGTCCACGTCCACTTTGTAACGAAGTTCGTGAAAAAAAGTGAGCTGAGTTAGAACCTCGAAACAATCGGCCACAGACAAAGTTGTTTGATTGAAGGATTGGTTGATAAGAATGACACGGAATGTTCTGAAGGAAATTGTCCATGCATGGGGCTCATTTCCCAAAGCTAAGTGCCACGTGTGCATTTCAATCTTTGAGCTTTTGTCTCCAACCAAATTGAGTGTTCATTCCCATGCATGACATACCCATTTTGTTATGAATTTTGTTAATAGAAAGATGTTTCTTGGAAATATATGGGCAAAGTGTTTTACAATACAATGTCAAAATATATGATGCACCTCATATTCTGGAGGCAGCACTATTCCTCTTGAATATTTTTTAAACATTTTACAGGAGTTGTGCTTGTGTTTCTTAATAACTGTAAGAATTGTAATGTATTTGGTGCAATATAAAGATTATGTATATATATATATATATATATATACACATAAAATTAAATTAGCAAAATCATCTATATATTAAGATCATTCAAGGAGCCAAGTGGTGGCTCTCCTTCATCGCATGGATGGGCCTTAGTTTTCATCAAAAAGGTTCATGTTTTGTAGAGTTCACAACTTATTTTACAGTTGATTGGAGAATTCCACAGGGTGTTTTTCATGGTGTTTCACATAGATTTTTTCCTCCTCAAATTTATGCACTTTATATTGTAATGCAATCATATAGACACTCGAAAGGAAAATACATCAAGAAAGGCTCAACATGTGTTTAAGTTTTATGTTTTGAGTAAGAACAACGTATTTTGTGTTTCGAGTAAGAACAATTTAAGAACACTTCACGCAGATATTGAATTTGCTAATTGGCATCTTCAAGTAAAGAATGCATACACACATTGTATATATAGATGGTGGTGCATTTGAGTTCTTTATGGTTGCATAATTATTGACTAATATTTCTATTTTCTACTTGTCAAATTGGAAACGATACAAACTTATTGCTCGATAACGTAGTTAAGCTTCTTGATCATATGATTGTTGATCAAAAATTAATGCCTTTAGTGGATGTTGTTTATACAAGGCAATGCTGATAGGAAGACAATATAGCAAATGATGCCTTCTTTAGAGATAGAATCATTTTATCCACTTGCAATGATAATGTAGAAGATATTAATGAGAAGATTATGGCCATATTTCTCAAAGAAGAACAAAAATATTTAAGTGCAAATGAAGTTTTTGTTATTGAAGATGGTATCAATAATAATAATATTTATCTAGTGAAATTCATCAAGTCACTCAATCCATCTAGAATGCCTAAATCAAGGCTTTGTCTTAAAATTGAGATTTCAATGATGCTATTAAGAAATATTGCTCCTCGCCAACAACTTTGCAATAGAATCCAATTGGTAATTACATGACTAATGGTTTGAGTTCTTGTAATAAGAATTCTTAGAGGAAAATTTGTTGGAAACTTGGTGTTTATTCTATGGAATACATTGACTTCTACAATAAAAGAACTTCTATTTATTCTAAAGAGAAAGCAATTTCCAATCCGTCTTGTATTTGCAATAACAATAAACAAATTCAAAAGACAATCAATGAAGCATGTTGGTTGGATCAACAACAACCTATTTTTTTTCCATCATCAACTTTATGTAGCACTCTATCAATGCTTTTCCTACCATTCTATCAAGATTCTTCTTCCCAAAAATGATAATTTAAATTCTTTGTCAAATATTGTTTTTCTGGAATTTTTAATTAGATAAATATAAAAAAAATATTTTTTATATTTTTATTTAATTTTATTTAATTATTGACTTTAATACATCTTTGAATGTCAAAATATATTTTTTAATGTAATTCAATGTTTTTTATGTTTTCATAAGTAATTTCTTGACCTAAATTAATTATATTTTTTATATATTATCCACAACAATAACATGGATTTACTTATAATAACTTCATATGTAAAAGCTCCATTATGTAATTTATATTCTTTCTATTTGTATTGTATTACATTTGAATTTGAAAAATATTCATTAGTTCACAAAATAACTTCATTTGAATCAAAGTTTTCGTGACAACAACATGGGGTTATCTAGTCTATATATTAAGATTGATCAAGGAGACAAGTGGTGGCTCTCCTTCACCGCATAGATGGGCCTTTGTTTTCATCAAAAAAATTTATGATTTGTGGATTTCACAACCTGATTTATAGTTGATCGGGAAATTCTATAGGATAATTTTCATAGTGTTTCACATTGATTTTTTCCTCCTCAAATTTATGCACTTCATACTATAATGCAATCATATAAACACTGGAAAGGCAAATACATTAGGGAAGGCTCAGCATGTATTTAAGTTTTGTATTTTGAGTAAGAACAATGTATTCTGTGTGTTTCAAACATTGGTGTTTTGTCAAATTTATGAATTACAAATTATTAACATTGTGCTTTGCAATCAGAATTTCAGAAGAATTTCATAGTGGATTAACAACATGGATTCATAGTGGATCTTGCTTTTGGGAGGTTTCTTTGTTATTCCATCAAAGAAGAAGTAGCAGCATGGGCTTACAATCTTGCTACTCGAATCAACTTTTGTACTTATAAATTGTTGTTGTCAAAGATGTAATCATTTACTCCAATTGTCTAATAGAACTTTCTTTGAGGAGGTTGGAGTTCTAATTTTATGATATTTTATGAAATTTATGATATTGCAGTGAAATATTGCAGTGAAATATTGCAGTGAGTATTGCTGAAATATTGAAAAATTTGTGTTTTTGTTTAGCTTTTTGAATGTGTCTGTTTGTTTGTTTGTTCTTTGTTTTGTATTTTTTTTCTTTTTTTTTTTTTTTACTTTTTTTGATTTGATGTCTGGATTTGTTGTTAGATTGGTGAAATATGGATTAGACTAAATTTTTGTGCATAAAACTAGATTTTTAAATTTTATTATTTTCAAAAACTATTTATTATTTATAATATTTTAAAATTTTAAGATGATATTTTTATAATTTTTATAATTTTTATAATTTTTAATATTTATTTTATTATATTATTTTTTATCATTTTTAAATTTTTATTAGTTATTTGTTTTATTATTTTTAGTTTTTTATTTTTATTTTTCAAAAATAGTTAATATTTTTATAGTTTTTATTTTTATAGTCATATTTATAGTTTTGATAATTTTTATAGTTTTTATATTACATTTATTATATTACATTTCACATTATATCTTCATTGTAAACAAAATTCTTGAGCAACAAAGTTTTATTTGAATTATAGGAATATTGTCAACTATCACAAGAATTGTTGTACAAAAATTAAATTGTAGGAATTTCATTTCTTGTTCTTAAATGAAATTTTTTATATTCAACTTCATATGTGTAAATAAATAAATAAATAAATAAATATATATGTGTAAATATAAAATAAATAAATATATATATATATATATTTGTGTTTATATATAAAATAAATAAATAATAATATATTTTTTAATGAATAATTAAATATTAAATATTTTATTTATTTATTTTGATTTATAAAATGTAATATTTTGAAAAAATTGAGCTTTTTGCTATAGCAAGTTGCTTTAAAAATTTGTATAATTATAATTTGTAGGGATGTATAGATGTAGAATATTTTTATTAAAGCATTGTAGCATTATAATTTGACTAATTGAGTTGTATGTACTCATTTTTATTTTACAAGTACTATGAAATTTTGCTAAAATACTTGAATAACAAGATTTTATTGGAATTTTATAGAGGTACAATTTTAATACTTACAAACTTATTCCAATTGTTTGGTAGAATCCGTGCCATTGTGAATAATCTAGCTTTAACAATGAATCGAAGAGCAATTGCTTAACAACAACATAGGAAATATGAGAGAGTACAAAGAAAAGCTAAAATAGTTATAAGTGTTGAAGCCATATATAATCTAGAGAGGATGAATGTTTTGTATCCTTATTGTAATGCATTGCATTGCTTTGATGAACATTTAGCCTGGTCGCTAAAAGAATTACTATTATTTGGATAATATTGTCGTCAAAAAAAAAAATTCTCTATCATCTCTACCTTCTCCACCTTTGATTTTGAAATGCTTATTTGAGGACCAAGATGCAAGAGCAAGAGAGTTCTGAGAAAATATCCATGAGTATAATATTGCACATGCATTTATGTCCTTAGGTGCAAATATTAATCAATTTGTGCTTTAGCAAAATGCTCCATATAGTTTTAGAATAAATAGAGAGTTTCACCATTTAGTATGAGCATTGTTACCTGAAGAAGGAATCGATCCAAGTTATGCACATCTCTATATCTACAATGCATCATTTACACAAGATAGAAGAATGAATCAAAATCATGGATTATTGAGCCAAACTATGTGAGAGATTGGAAAAGTTTTGAAGAAGAATAATCTATTTATTAGATTATATAGACATGTACATGAAATACTATTCCAAGTGCGGAATGAAAGAATAGTGGAAGTAGATCTTTTTGTTTCTTTACACTTTATGAATGAGAGTGATAGACCCCAATATAATCTTCTCACTACTTTTGAAGAAATTACTATTATATTGTTTGGAGATGGATCCGAGCATAATGCACTTCTTAATATTATTATATGCCTATGTAGTAATGGGCTATTAAAAAGGATTCATGATGCTCATTTTGCTTATTTGCCTCTTTATTATTATTATTATTTTTTTTATTTTTTTATTTATTTTTTTTCTTCCATATAGAACCTTTAGATGGCATCTTGATCCAAAGGCGCAAAATTTAGTGATGGATATTGTTGAAGAAAGAAAAAGTATTTGACAAGAGGATTGAAGAGGCAACAACCTTATACAAATGGATTATTTTGCTTATCAACTTTTTTTAAGGCCTATCAAATATTT